CTCCAAGAAGAACATTGGAAAAATGTTCAGAAGGTAATGTGATAAATTCAAAGAAGGTTGAGAATTTATCTAACTAATGATACTTTGATTTTACACTTTCATTATAATTCAACTATGATTACATCCCTCCCACCCTTCCCATGTTTTCTACTCACTCCCTCTCATCTTCATCGTCTCTTTTTCATTGATATTTATAGTTCATGTATACATATAAAATGTATAAAGGTATGAATGTAGCCTGCTGAATGTGTTTAGTTACTTATATGTAAATTGGATTTTGGACTGAACACTTTGTTCCAAATCACAGTTAGGAAGCACCTCCCTAGGAAAGCAAATCCCCCCCCCTCTTTCAGTAGTCATCACTTGCCTATAATTCTTGCTTTAGTGCTCGGACCACATGAAACTTCTCCTTTCCACATAAAAATTCTGATTTCTGTTCGAAATAACTAACTTGTGATACCAAATGAAGCAACAATTTCCAGTAAATACTATGAAATTCCAAAAGGGTAGCCCAATATTTTTTTTTATGTTTTAAATAGTTGACTAGTAGTTTAACATTGTCATTAACATGTTAATGCTGGTGTGTTATATAATAATGATATGAAGACTTCATCTTTGAATTCTCCTAGAAACTGTCTACACAGCTATCAGTGTTTGCTGTAATCAATTCTTTAACAATCCCCTAATCAAATGTGCTCCTAGTAATCTGGTACTGACTAGTGCTGTATGTGATAAAATTCATTACATTTAGGAAATAGAATCTTTAGCTGAAATTTAGGACATTTCAGTTAACACATTGTCCTGAATTTGTTTATTTGTTCATTTAATGGGTGTGAATTTTATATTGTTACTTGCAATATTAGGGAAAATAAACCAGATTTTGTTGATACTACATAAGTAAGTATTACAAGGCCATTTATGAAAATGTGACTATTTTACAAGAATGTCACCATCAGAGAAAATCATGTTAATTTTTTTTAAAATCTCTGTATGATGTAGTATCTTACACTTATGTAAATCTCCCAGAACCAACCATGAGAGAAAAAGTTTGTTGGCTTCATTTTAACAACTTAGAATAAAAGATGCTTATCCTTCCATGTAAAAAGATCCCTGTTCCTTAAGAACACTGGCTGCTCTTCCAAAGGACCCATGTTTGATTCCCACCACCCTCAGAGCAGCTTGTTACTCTGTAAATCTACTGTCAAGGGCTCTGATAGCCTCTCCTAGCCTACTAGGGAAACAGACATGTATGTTGTGCATGTATACATGCAGAGCTCAACCTTGCTTTGCCCCTATGAGCATTTGGAACATGCTTCCCTTCTAGAACAGCCTTTGCCTTAGGCTTAAGGATACTTTAAGTTTTGTAGTAAAAGCATTCAAACTGAATTCTTTTAGATTAAATCCTGTACATCTAAATATATCCTATCCAGTGTGTGTGTGTATGTGTGTGTTAGTGTGTGTGTGTGTGTGTGTGTGTGTGTGTGTATGATTCTAGCTCATTTCTTTTCCTTTTCCTTATGAGGTAAAAACCTATTAAGAGAAGTAACTCTACTACCAACATAATTTGCAATTGAAATTGAAAACAAACATCTATTCCAGTAATTTTCAAACTTTTCAAATTTAGAAAATTTAGAAATTAGCGGTGCACTAATAATCAGATCTTTCTGGGTATTAACTGTGTCCAGCTACAGCATCTCACTCATGACATCATCACAATGAAGCAACCTTCATAAATCTAGTTCTCTCTGTGTGGAAGCTGAGGACTGATGTGATAAACCATGTATCAGATGGTTACCATGCTGAAGTAAGTTAATTCATCACTCAAATCCGGGACTTTCTGATACGTCTAAGTTTATTGCTTATTTCTGTGACAGAACAGTTCATTTGTATACCTATATGTCTTCAGCCTTTTTACAGATCATGTTCTGGAGTCAGCAGATGAAAAATGAAGTGGATGTTTAATGTTACACTTCCCAAATTCTCTAATAAGTATACTTCCCTGAATTCTGAATATAATGTAATTAATATATTCAAAGCTAGAATGTGTCACTGTTTCTTTAATTGGATATCAGATAAAACAGCCTGATTTAGAAGCTGTAATGCATAACTATGTGCCTTTAAGTAATGAAAATACATTGTGAGTAGGAAGATACATCCTCAGAAGTCCTTAAAAATGAATGTACTGGGAGTATGTATCACTGGATAAAGCACTGGAGTGTGAGGAATGTGAACATCCCAGATTCATGTAAAAACTGGGAAGGGTTGAGCTTCATGTAATGCCACCACTCATAAGACAGAGAAAGAAATCTTCAAAGTTTGATGACTAACTAGACTCTCAGGGACTGCCAAGCTCTTAGTTCACCAAGAGACACTTTTTTCTTTGATAAAGAAAGTATGAAGTGATCAAGATAGGTGACAGATGTCAAGTTTGCACGCATGCACACAAACACACACACACACACAGTGAAACAGAGACAGAGCTACACCCCCACATGTGTGCTTACTTATACAAATACACATATATACGTGTACATCATACACAAGCGAATATATATACTCATACAAAGAAATAATGTATCCCCATAGCAATTAAATGGACTTTTCAGCTCACATTCCTCTGAGTCCTAGTTGATAAACTTAGTCCATTTAAATTGTAAATTCTCCTTCAGTCTCACCTTTTCCTCTCTTGTTTATCAGAGAAGAAGGTATTTGAGAAGCACATATTGAACTTACTGTTACTAATTACACCTGTGCCACAGCACAGATAACTTATAACTATGCTCTAAATACAATATGTAGAACTAATCATGACATGTTACCCAAATCACCCATGTTTTCCTCCATGTCTGCAGCAGCAGGTGGCTAGTTTTTGACCCTTGACCCCAAGAAATGTGTTCTTAGGTGGAAATATTTTAGTTGAAATCATTGTCACTGTCCTGGTCTTGTTTTTGAGCTGAGCATCTCAAACCTTAGTCTGGAACAATATTAAAAATAATTTCTTTTTGCATTATGTAAGAAACTCTAATCCATACCTTACTTATGCTTCCAACCAATGACACCAAGAATAGCATCAATATAATTGTCTACCTGAGACCTATCTATAGAATACAGTCTTTTATAATGTCATAGAGTAAGAATTTATCTGATCCCAAAGCAAGAAAAGCAATGGTGTTTGTTTTTGTTTTTGTTTTATATTCAACATGTTGGTAACCATACAAACACTGAGATTTTTTGGGGGGGACATGAGGAGCATTTTCTCTGTTTCATCCAATAAGGAGTTCAATGTTAAAATTGGAACCATCTTTTAGTAATTAAATATTTCAGATGGTGGCTGGACTTTATTTATTTATGAGCAGCCATTTTACATGCAATTTCTCTTGACCTTGCATAACTTACTTATTTCCACCCAGATATTTTAGACATTTCTCTATGTCAACTTTATTTTGATCAAAGCCAGATTGGAAGAGACTGAGAAAGGAATAAAAATAGTCATTACAATGATTAGGTATCTCTTTGGAACCTTATGAAATCTACTGCTAATGAATTCTACATATCACAGCCTGCCATAAGGACAGAGTTAAAATTTTCTGCCAGATCAGAAGGTTTCTAACTGATTATGGTAGACATTTTTTCCCTAAGGACCACAGAAGTTAGAGTTCCAGCAGTGAATGAAAGACACATGTTCTCTAGTAAGAATCTTAGGGATATGATTAGAGCTATAGGATGACCATCTAGAAACACCAGCCAACACCAACAGAACAGAGGAAGATTTGCATATCTGTTTGAACCAAGAGTTGATATTTCCAATGACTGTTGTTTGTGATTTATAAGAGTCAGCTAGAGATACTTATAAACATATAAACAGGAGTACCTCAGTCAGGAGGCAGATAGTAAGATGGACCCAGATGGTATGGTCAGTGACACTTAAAATTACATCAAGTGGTCACACTGTGAGTTAAAAACCCGAGATTCTCAGAGAAGCTTCTCTCCACAGTCATGTGCAGGATTATTAGCCACATTCACTATGTATGTCTATAGTGAAGTGTGTTGTTCAAGCCCCTGTCATCAAGATACATGACACTTTCCCCTTGATACAGACATTCTGTTCATTCAGGATCAGTTGACTACACCAGTCAGTTACCATTTTGATTGAATAAAATTCTTATAAACAAAACCAATTGTTTTATCTTAGCATAACTTCATAGGACCAGAATTCTAGCACTTAAAAGACAGACATAGGAAGATCAGAAGTTCAGCCTTAGCTAAACAGTGAGTTCAAGGACAGTCTGGGATACAAGAGAACCCATCATGGGGGGGGAGGTCATAAAAAATATCATAAAGGAATTCCAAAGTTATATACAAAATTGTAAGACAGCTAGTCAACCACCAAAACCCATTGCTTCTAATTTGAACTGTACAAACAAATTTAAATCAATCTACTCTAAGTAAGTGCTGCTAAATAAATGTGACTCTGTGAAAACAATATCAAGTTTAAGCTTCATTTGCATAAATATATTCAACATCCTGGTCACTTTTGCTTGTTTTTTCCAAGTCATTCAGAGGCACCAGGTACTTTTACAAAATCACAGTGGCCCTGGGATAGCATTCATAAAATACTAAACAGTTCTTCCCACTTAGAGAGGCCAAGAAGGAAAATCACACATGGATAGATACTGGCAGCCACATTTTGTCACAATCTATAAACATATTGGAGTTCTCCTCCACATTTCTTAGGCAGAAGTTAGGTACCCATTGTAGTGTTTATTCTGTTCACAACGTCTGTTGGGTTCAAGGGTCTACAGTTACACACATTTGAAAGTACTCCCAAAAGTAACAACATTCGGTAGATGAAGACCACAAAGATGCAGTTACAGGACTCAGGTAATGTAAGATCAAGGGCAAGGTGATGATTATGTGTACTTTTTACTTAATAATACCTCAATGAAACTCGGCAGGGCACAGATGTTTGATGAGGGTAAGACAATACAATCACTTCCTACCTGCCTCTTTGGAAATCTGTGTGAAGGACTCCACACCTTTCTCTCCGTAGCTTCCTTCAGATGCAAGAGTAGACACATAATTCCAGCCCAAGGCCTTTACAATGTCTACCATGGCCTGAGCTTGAAAGGAATCAGGTGGGACCACTCGAGAGAAGAAGTCATAGCGCCGATCATCACTGAGCTCAGGAGCTGTGGACGCATAACTAATCTGAGGTATCTGAAAAGACAAGAAAACACCATGTGAGGAAACATGAGGAGGGTGGGAAAGACTCAGGCACACTTAGGACAAGCCACTCAAAAGACAAGGCTGGAGGACTGTACTGGATGAGTATTCTGCCCAGTTACCATTCTACAACTCCACACCAACTAGATAGACCCAGACTGCTCTTAGAAATAAAGGGCATTTTCTTCTGTGTCTTCTTGTTCTACTTTCTTTCCTTAAGTAAAGGTAGTGAGGACACCAGAACACTATGGTAACCATCGCTGATAGTTAAAAACAGAGGCTTCACAACTAAATCACCAAGTATTGTCACAAGTATAAAACCAATAGCAGCACAAATGCTTCGTATCTAGAGGCCAGTGTAGCCAATAGAGACTATGGTTCCTCATGGACATCATGAGGCTTTAGCACAAAATCTTGAGGACCTGTAAGAACACATGGAAATGAATTCTATGTGATAATTCATTCTGCAAAATCATTATAATATATCTTAATAGTACCCTCAGCCCAGGTAAGGGAGTTCCCTGGTGCAAGCATTTCATGCTTGTACAGTGGTACTCAACTTTTGTGTTGAGAACCCTTTGGGAGTCACATATCACATATCCCCCGCATCAGATGTTTATGTTAAATTTATAACTTATAAACTTATAAATTTATAAGCAGCAAAATTATAGTTATGAAGTAGCAACAAAATAAAGTATGTATTATATTGTGTTTATTATGTTAACTATATCTGATTGGTACACATACAAACACACACATACAAACACACACACATACACACACACACACACACACACACACACACACACACACACACAGAGAGTTACAAAGCCATTATTGATGACAAACATGGCTTGGGATCTGACATTAGTATCCCTGTGTTAATTCCCTCTGCAATGCACTCCACCCCTCCTCCAATGTGCCCACCTTTTTCTCTCTTTGATTCCTATAAGGTTGTAACCTATAATTAGCACTACAAGTCATTACATACAAGAAGAATAAACTGACAATATTTTGTAAGAAAATTCTCTTTTTCCTATTTTCTTAGACTCATCCAATAATTCATCTATTTTGCCACAATCATGCCAAAGCCAAATTCACTTTGACATACTGAGTTTTGACAATTCTATTTGATATTGGTTATTTCTGTTTTTCCAAGCGATTTTCTTCTTTTGAAGTATGATTATTACTGCTATGAAGATCACTTCTCCCCCCCCCCTGTTAAAGTTCTTCGTCAGCCTCATACAGCCTAATGAAAGTCAGATTGACCCTGCTCCCCCACCCATGCTATAGATTAGCACCTCAGCATTGACAAGAAGGCTCTCTGCCCTAAACTCCAAGAACAAACTAGTATTAGGAAGCCTCGGGGTCTCCTCTTGAGGTCTTCCCCTGAGTAAACGTTATTGAGGGGTGCAGGGAGTAAATGAAATATCAACAAATGCTGGGGTCAGAGCTTGGATCATTTGTTAACTTGTACTTCTACCTCAATGAGTTAGTTGCATCATAACTGTTTTCACAAGGCAGAGATTTACATTGTTATGATGATGTCAGGACTGAGTAGATATTCAGTGCCCTGGAGGACAAATGTAAAAACGCTGGATAGAATATCACCCTAATTAAGATTCTCCACATTTGACTTTTATGGTTTTGAGTATGGTATGTTCCACATGGGCTCGTGTATTTTAAATAGTTTTTCCACAGGGGGTGCCACTCTTTGGGAAGGTTCTGGGCCATTTAGGAAATTGATCCTTGACGGAGGAAATACAGCACTGGAGGTGGGTTTTGAAGTCTTGTAGCTGGATCTACTTCCTATTTTCACTCCTGACTGACTACCAGGGTCCCTGGCTGGCCCCCTTGGCCTTCCCATCATTATGGATTCAATTCCCCTCCAGAACTCCAGTCCCAAATAAACCCTTACTACCCAAAGTTATTTTCTACCAGGATACACTCTCAAAGCAACAGAAAAATAACTAATACAATTTCCCAAATTCTCTATAGTACAGGTTAGCTTTCACCTCTGTATCCTAGAATGAGATAACAGTTTTACAATGATAACATAATAACTTCTTTAGAAACAACACTTATTATATGCTGAAGTCTTTATTATATACACATCATGTTTTGTGAGTTTCATAGTCAGTCTACCATCTAGTCACCATGAATCATTCTTCACTGTCCTATATTATCATATTCTAAAATATACTTTGTGGTACTGTATTTTTATTAGCTCGTTTTTTAGAAGGAGTAGGCACTGAGCTGCAGAGTTCAACCATGAACTCAGAATGCAGAGCTTTAAAATTAATATCCTCACTCAAGCCTGAAAATAGGCTGTGCAAACAACTGATCTCTTAATTATGCTAATTTAAAATTTTTACTAAAATATTTAATAATAAGCATAAAAAGGAAAGCCACTGGATTATTAGAGTCTAAGTGGATTTCTGTTCACAGCATTAATTATGTCATCACCGGAAGTAAATTTGCAGCTCATTCTGAGACAACTGTTCAAACAATTTGTTTGAACAACTTGTTGAAGCTCACACAAACACTTTAACAGTCTAGGCTATATATGTGTTTATAGTTTGAAAGCTTTAACTCTTAGGGAAAGAAATTCTTCATTGATAGTGCTTTAGGGGGAAACATAGGGAGGGAGAAGTGGAACTTTATAGGATTTTACTTACAAGAAATGAAAAGACACAAGGCAAAGGGTGTCAAGGCATTGGCACTAATTTTCATTTGATAAAATATAGAATCTTTTTGATGCACAGATGTTGGTTCTGCCAAAATCATTCTCCACCTAGGAAAATGTGCCAGTGAAGTTATACTCAGTGTATTATTGAGTTTTCATTTACATTGCTGTGGAGAAGCATCAGAATTAATGAAAACCACAATGGAAAAGCATGTTCTAAAGAATACCCAATTACAGCTATGAACATCTTGGTAAATTAGTTTCTTCACTGTTACCTGTCTTTTGACAGTTATTGCTATTTGAATTCTCTCCCTTCTAGGATACATAAGAAACAGCCCCTGGTTTAAGACTCAAATTTCTATTCAAGACCATGTACACCTCCTCTTCAATATTTTATTTATGCCAACACTTGTCATATAATGATCCCAGAATAAGGAATTAAAGATCAAATGGATTTAACTTCCAAGATCAAAATGCATTGCATAGAAACAATCCTTCTAGTAACACAGATGAAAGGATGGAGAAATTTCTATAACCTGTCATACACGATGGTGCAGATTTACATAGCTATGAGGCCTTGTGCTCAGTTTTTTTACATTCAAGCAGATTTTTAAGTTTATTTCATCATTATTTTGAGAACATTTCTAATATCTCATCAGAGAACTGAAATGTATCTTAGCATATTACCCTTTTTTCCTAATAAAAATTTGCTCATCACAGAAGAATTATTTTGTTAATAATCAGTATAAATTAGGATTAGAAGCAAATGTAAAGTGCTCTGTATCAAATGAAATACCGGATGAGTTTTTGCTTTGTTTTAGAAAATTAATGATATACTATTGCTGAAAAGTGCAGAGAATGAAAACGAAAAACACAAGATAATTTTAATTCCTGGATCTCAAGTAATGTTTTGTTAAATCTCTTTAATAGCTTTATCTTCGCAGTGGAATACACACATGTATGATAAAAGAATCGAATTTCATTGTATTATTCCTTAGTATGCACCTTCCTCACCTTTCTCTCCTGTTCTCCATTCTTGTTACCCCCTCTCCTCTTTCTGTGTGTGTATGTGTGTGTCTTCATAATTCTGTGTAATATGGACATTTAGTCTCAATTCAGATTGCTAAATTCTTAAATCTTCATTACCATTCAAAATCAAAGTTAAATCCTCCAACCTAAATGAGTCATTTTATCCATCCATTATATTTCATTAGAAAGGTGTGCCTTCAAAGTGACAGAATGTTTGTAGTTTTCAATGAAAACCACATTATTTCAAGTTGACCTGTGAGGTAGAAGAACCTCTCAAATGCTTTACTTGTTGCTCCAACACCGCTTATTAAATTAGTGGTTCTCAACCCATGGATGGAGACCTCCATAAAGACATATAGCAGATATCCTGTATATAAAATGTTTACCTTATATCTCATAGCAATAGAAAAATTTCAGTTACAAAGTAGCAATGAATAATTTTATGAATGGGGCACACTGCACATGAGGGTCATACCATTAGGAATGTTGAGAACCACTGTACAAATGATCATGCTTTGCTTCCAGAGAAGACTGTTCTTTCTTGTTATGTACAAAATCCTTCCTTTTAATTCATTAGTCTTAGAGAGTAAGCATGGGAACACATGCCAGAGAACACATCTGGAGATCAGAAGACAGTTGTGTGGAATTCCTCTTCTTCTGCCTTTGTATGGGTTTCAGGGACAGAATTCAGGTCAGCAGGCATGAGTGTCAAGTGTCATTCACAGCTATTTCACTGACCTACATATACTAAATTCTGAATTAATCCTTTAATATTTTGGATATGACTTCTAAATCTTATTTTTAGCTTTCAGGTCTTGGGTCAGCACTTAACTATGTTAGCTATTTTGAGGTGAGATTGTGTTAAAACTGTATTAGTTCTGACATATGCCTTCTTTTTAACTGATGTTTAAAAAGTACCCCCAGTAACCCCATTGTTTAGTTTTGTATATAAACATTAGAATAACTTATAATAAATTTTAAAAATGTAACAAAAATTTTAAGATTTGATGAAAAGTTTATTATAGCCATATATTAGGGTAAAACTTGGATTTTATAATACTGTATTTTCACTTGTGAAAAAATAATTATTATTGTTTTTATTAAAGTTTATTAACATGTTATTCATATGAAATAGTTGAATTATACTTACCATACATGTGATATAATGTTCTTCTCAGAAGCTATTGGTTTATAAGTTAATGAGTTGTGTGCCAGGTATGAGATACTTTCTTTTGGTGGTTTGAATGAAAATGGTCCACTCAGGCTCATATATTTGAAT